ACAGAAGCTCTTTATAAAACATGAAACATGCATTTTATATTATTTTAACGGTCAAAACAGCGGCCGATGTCGGTCCGACGTCGCCCCGACGTCGGCCCGACGTCGGCTGGACCTCATCAATTGATCTCGGTCCGACGTCGGCCCGACGTCGGCTGGACCTCGGCTGGACGTCGGAACATGCGGGCATATCCGACATCCAGCCGACGTCGGCATGTTTACTGGGGCGGGGTCTTTCGATTTTGCTGAAAATCCTACCCCAAAATACCACCCCAAAGAGGTACATTTTCGGAATCAGCGCATCGAGAAGGCCCTGTACACCGATTTTCAGCCAAATCGAAAGACCCCGCTGTTTCCCGTTAAAATGTTAATTGGCCGTTAACTCGTTAATGGTCCAAAATACCACCACAAAGAGGTACATTTTCGGAATCAACGCATCGAGGAGGCCCTGTATACCGATTTTCAGCCAAATCGAAAGACCCCGAAAATTTGCTGCTGAAATCGATATATGCTGCTTAAATGTTAACGGATCGTTAACTCGTTAACAGTGCAAAATACCACCCGAAAGAGGCACATTTTCGTAATCAGCGCATCGAGGAGGCCATGAGGCCATGAGTTTTTGGCCACACCTGCCAGTTTTTGCGCGTGTAAAGAAGACGGCGGCGCGCAGCGCCGCGAAACTGGATAAGCTTATGATACATCAATTTCGCATCGTGTGTGAAACTTTTGACCCCAGGTCACGTAAGGTCAGGTCACCAGGCCAAGTTAAGTAACCATACCTCTAAAAACACTTTATGACTCTGACATTCCAATAGTTTAAATCCCAGAAGCTTGAAACTCGGGTTTTTGCATTAGGTAATCAATATGAATAATTCCCACATCTCGGAATTTTTATGACGGTGACCTAAGGTCAGGTCGATTAATGTCAATTTTGTAAGTTCGTGACACAGGTAAAAATGACACACTGAACCGGAAAATTTCACCCGTGTGCCCCTTGTATGCCCCTGAGGTTATCTCAGGTCATGAAACATCTCCACCAGTTTTTTATCATAACTTTAGTTAGAAACATGCTAGAGCGCTGAAAACACCATAGGTGTGTTCAGCTAAACAAATTAACAATACTAATCGAATGACATGCAACATGACCTTTTCCGTGAGTGTCATAGTAGCCTCTTTGCTCAGGGCGTGTTCTATGAGGGTGTTCTATGATCTATGAGCTTTTCAGCTCCATGTATATCTCTTTAATAGTGTGTCGAGTGTACATAGGTCAACGCGGGACACGCGCAATAGTGAATTAAGGAAGTATCTTTATGGGAGCATTTGGCTCCGAAGAGCCGAAGAGTGTAATTTTTTTTTGTGTGAAGGGCTCAATTTTTTTTTTCATATGCAGGGCCACTTGACTTGGTGATCAGATCTTCGGTGCTGTGGCATCAAACTTGTTACACGGGCTGCAAAATGTATGTGTTTTTAGAGCTGTTTTGCCAAGTGATTTTGCCAATTTTCGCGGCGCTTCGCGCCGCCAATTCATACTCGAATCAAAAAGATACCGTGAGTTGTGACTAATAAAGCACTCTCGCACGCAGGTATGTATGCATTACATGCTGACATACACTGGCGGTCCCAGGGGGGGGGCCACGGGGGCCATGGCCCCCCCTTTGGTGCTGAAAGGTGGGGCCATACTACCTATCTTTTGGCCCCACCTTTCAGATCGAACAAAAGTCCTAGAAAAGCTTTTCGTATGTTTCATTTTCTTTCTTGCGCCATCAAAGGACGTAAATTTCACTCATGAGTGGGCTCAGTTTCGCATTCTGTCAATTTGGCGGTCAGCGTCGCTGGCACCGGTTCACGAGTATGGCCGGATCTTATATGGAATATCAGCGTGGGTTTACTTGAGGCTCTCGTAGGCCCAGCAATGGCTGGCATGAGACCCTCTTCGGCAGTGGTGGGTGGGCCCTGCTAAAGGAGATTGGCTCTAAGACACTAAAGTAAGACCTCATGGGTTGGTGCTGTGTACCTCAGAAGCCCGGTGGTGACGCCGTATGCCGGCTTGGTTTCTTAAGGATTAGCGTGGGAACTCCGGGGCCTGCATAGAGTTTGCATGAGCTAGTATGTAATCTCAGAGGCATGTGTGTAATGTGTACACAGTGGCGGTCGCGGAGGGGGGGGGGGGGATCAGGGCCATGCCCCCCCAAAGGTCAATAAAGGGGGCCATCTTATCATTTGCCCCCCCCCCCCTCAAACAACCAATGGGCCCCCATATAGGTGTATGGGGCCCTGGCAATTATTCGATCGTCACGAGGCTCAAAAAACCCACGTCCAGCTATTAATATAGCTCCCACACCGGTCTTTGAGCGTCCTACACTGACCTCTGAGGGAACTTCAGTGGCGGTCAAGCGCCCACGTTGACCGCTAAGAGCCTACATCAACCTCTGAGACTCCACATCTAGCCTATGAGGGCCCCTAACCGGCCTCAGGGGTCCCAACCGGCGTCTGAGGGTCTCACACCGGTCTCTGGTGGCCTTAGTCTGTGGTGTCCCAAGACGAACCTTTAGGTGCCAAAGAGGGCCCCGCACTGGCTGCTGAAGACCCGATGCCGGCCTCTAAGGGCCTGCATTGGCCTCTGAGGAGGGCCCATCTTGGCCTTTGAGGGCCCTCTGCTGGCCTCTGGGGTCCAACGACGGCTCATGCCGGTCTTTTAGGGCCCCACGCTGACCTCTGAGGGCCCATGTTGGCCTGTAATGACCCACATTAGCCTCTGAGAGCCCAACTCGGCCACTGATTGTCTCAAACTACTGGCCTTTGTAGTTTGCAGGCCCTGTACTGGTCTCTGAGGGCCCTAAACTGGCCTCTACGTGAAAAGATACATGGGTGGGTTTCTGAAGATCAGAGGGCTCACGCAGTCTCCGGCACAGCCTTACGTTGGTCCTGATCGAGATTACTTTACGTCCTGATGGTCCCGCGCAGATTCCCTCATATTTCGACGTCAAGACCCCATGAGCCGGTGTGGGTCCTGGGGCTGGCAGAGACTGATGAAGTCCTTAGGGCTCAGGGCCAGTCTTTTTAGCAGTAAGACTAGGCAGGTTGAGTGTGCCCCAATAGAGCCGATGCGAAGCCCCGCAGGAGTCGCGCGCGGCCCTCAGATGCCAATTTTGAAAGCTCGGAACCTGTGGGGGTCTCCAGAGGTCGGTGTACCTACTCTCTCCCGCCGCCACACAACTAGGTATGTTTAATGTTACCTATATGGGTAAATGTCATAGTCTGAAAATGCTCTCTGGGTTTCACATGCTTGTTCAAAGCAAGAGGTGTCTGTACTTTTCCGAATTGTTTTATAGTGGTAAGGTCATGAATCCGCGTGCCTGGCCTTCCAGTATACACCTATGCTACACCGATCCGTCGTCATGGTGCAGTGGGCCGACCGGTGGAAGCACCGTGGGACGGGAAATGGAACTGGTGATTTTGCCTTAAATTGAGCTTAAAGATTTCACACAAGAATCAGATGGCTGATGAAGCATAAGTAATGCCAACTGCGCGGCACCTCGTGGACGTAAAAAATTAGCCGATCACCCCCCCCCCCCCTCCCGGTGGCGGATAAATGTTATGTCCCGCGAGTGTGACTTTGGCCCCCCCTTTTGCTAGCGGCTGCGACCGCCAGTGCTGACATAAATATACAAGGAGTCGATGCAGGGTATCAGTCGATGCACATCACACACTTCACAAAAACAAGACAACAAAAACAAAAACAAGACTTCCGTTTTCCACAAGGCTACCTTTACCGGACTAGGATTGAGCTTCTTTAGTTTCGTCCCATTTTCCATCAAGTGGGCAGTCATCCAGTCATTTATTTATCGCGCCTACCGTTTATGCTCGAGCTACAAGCTCTTCGATCTAGAGCTAAGATCCCTCAAAGGTTTTTTCTTGGATAACGGTTACCCAAGGTCGTTGGTAGATGCCGCCATTGCCATGTTTCTTAACAGAAGGTTCATTACTATCACAAATCAACCACAGGTTGAAAAACTCGAAAGCTTTTTCACTTTGCCGTTTTTCGGAAAACGCTCAATTAAGCTCAAAAATGAAATAAGCGCTCTCCTACAAAAGTACTACCCATATCTAAGCCCGCGATTCATTCTCAGAAACAACTTCACTATTGGATCTCTGTTCAAGTTCAAGGACTCTATCCCTAAAATGTGTCGATCTGCTGTAGTTTATAAGTTCAGTTGTCCTTCGTGTGAAGGATCTTACATAGGTTCTGCCTATGTTAGGCTCCACAGCAGAGTTTGTCAACACAAGGGTAGGTCACACAGAACGGGCGAACTCTTATCCAGTCCAGTAGCATCGTCTGTACGGGATCATTCTTTGGCATGTGACACCCCCTTCAGTATAGACGATTTCAAAATCATAGATCAAAAACGCTCAAACTTCAATTTACGAATTTTAGAATCTTTACACATATTTGAAGCGAAACCGACCATCAATGACCGATCATCTGCGTTTAAACTAAGTATCGTTCTGTAGGAAGACGACCGAACCAACACGAATGATGTTTTATGTCTTGTTTTTGTGAAGTGTGTGATGTGCATCGACTGATACCCTGCATCGACTGCTTGTATATCTATGTCAGCATGTAATTGTGTACTTGGTCTATCTTAACACTGAAGATGACTTTGAATAAAGTCGAAACGTTTGAAAATGTATGCATTACCTATCAGACTGGTGCACGGGCATCACTTTCCGAAATTAATTGGTAGGGCTTTAAAAGTTAATTTTGGGATACAAAAGCCATTTTTATCATGCATCGCCATACGGTTAATGATAAAATAATGAAATCATTGGTAGGGCTCGGGCCCTACCAAGCCTATACAAAACGACACCCATGGACTGGTGGCACACTTCAGTCATCTCATACCTCGTAGAAGACAAAAGTCTAGTGCCGTTAACGGTGTTAAATTGAACCGGACTTCAGACTGTACTGTGTAGGAATTTGGTCTATTACTGTAAAGTCCGTGCCGAGCTCCTTGCTGTATTGGGTCCAGCTGCAGACTGCCGCGCGGTCGGCCGACCGGCCGCCGCGCCAGGCCACACAAAACCGCCCGAGGCACATGCGCCGCGACACGCAGGGACGGACACCGCGCAGGGACGGACACAGGGACGGCCGATAAGGGAGGAGCAGCGGCGCACTCAGGCCACAGGTGGGGGAGGCGTGAACCATAGTTCACTACACTGCCCCCTCACAAAACACAAGTAATATGAACAGAGCTAGGAACCAAAAAACTTAGTCTGCTTTCTCACTCTAGTTCCGCGACGAACACCACCACCCTCGTCCAACACACGAGACTGTACACCTGCACCAGCCTCCACTCCGAGCCCCGAACGCAGTGGGGTTTCCGTCCGTGCACCAGCGTCGCCGGCGACACACGCGGGCTCGAGCTCTGATGCCTCAGGCCGGGGCTCCGACGGAGCAGGCGCCGAAGACGATGGCGATGCTGCTGGAGCGCTAGGCGCCGCTCCAGGTGTGCTGAACGGCGGCAGCGACGCGTCCAAGCCAGACTCCCCCGGACGAGACGGCTGCAGCGCCGCCGTCGGATTCCGAGATGGCTGCCCTCCTTCCGCAGGAATGTCACCGGGCTCCGAAGTCAGCGCAGAACGTCCTGCAAACAGTTCGCCGTCAGACCTATGCCGAAGCTGATCGATATGTCGTCTCCACAGCCTACCATCTTCAGTCTCCACAGCGTAAGACACAGGTCCATCCACTCCGACGACAACACCAGCAACCCACTTCGAGCCAACACCATAGTTCCTTGCAAACACTAGATCAGCCACATCCAGTCTCCTGCCAGTGCTCACCTTAGCATCGTGGTTTTCCTTTTGGATCACCTGTTTCTTCACCTCAGTTCGCAGGTCCGGGTGCAGAAGGTCCAGGCGACTTCGGAGGACACGCCCCACCATCAGCTCTGAGGGGGCTACGGAAGTTGTGCTGTGCGGGGTGATACGCTGGCAAAGCAACCATCGTGATAGCGTAGTCTCCCAGTCACTGTTCGACCTCTGCAACGCTAGTTTGACATCTTGTACAGCACGTTCAGCTAGTCCATTCCCCTGACTATGGCGAGGTTCTATGGTCTTATGATGAATGCCGTTCTGGCGCACGAACTTCTCAAAATCTGCTGACGTGAACGATGAAGCGTTATCAGTTACGATTACGTCCGGTAGCCCCCACCTTGAAAACATCTGTCTCAGTTTGGCTATAGTCGTCTGGGAGCAGACACTGGTACAACACTCTGCCTCCACCCACTTGGAATAAGCATCCACCACGATCAGGACGTACCTTCCCTTCTTCGGCTCAGCGAAGTCCACGTGGATCCTCGACCATGCCCGCTCAGGCCACGGCCACATGCAGATTGGAGAACGTCCCGGTGCAGGTCGGCTTTCCTGGCAGGCTTGACAGGAGTTCACGATGTGCTCAATATGCTGGTCCAGTTGAGGCCACCAGACACAGCCTCTCGCCAGAGCCTTCATGCGGCGGATGCCAGGGTGCGCCACATGCAGCTCCTTCAAGACTGCTTCACGTGCCCTGCTGGGAACGACGACACGGTGACCCCACATCAGCACTCCACGACAAACAGACAACTCCAGACGCTTCGAGGCAAAAGGTGACAGGTCTGCATCTGTAACCTGCGGCCAGCCACCCCTCTGGACAAGACGCATTACCCGAGACAGCACCGGGTCACGAGACGTCAGGAGGGCTACCTTCCTGGCGTCAAACAGCTGTTGATCATCGACCAGGAGCACCAGATCCTCCTCCTGCGAAGAGTTCGAGTCAGGCAGAGGACAGCGGCTGAGGGCATCAGCATTGCCCATCTCTTCAGTCCGCCGGTACTGAATCTCGTATCGGTACGTCGAGAGCTTCAACGCCCACCTCCGGATTCTGGAAGACGCCATCTCAGGTAGGTCAGCATGTTCACCGAACAACATCACCAGAGGTTTATGGTCGGTGACCAGCGAGAACATGTTACCGGCCAGGTACGCGTGAAACTTGGTAACCCCGAAAACGATTGCCAATGCTTCCCTCTCGATCTGAGAATATTTGCGTTCACATGGGGACAGACTTCTAGAAACGAATCCCACTGGCTTCTCAGTCCCATCAGCTTCCCTCTGAGCCAAAACGGCACCGATTCCCACAGAGGAGGCATCACACACTAGGACTTGCCGTTTGTTGATGGCGAAGTGACCCAACACGGAGCCAGACGAGAGGACGTCACGAGCCCACTGGAAGCTGGCAGCCTGCTCTGCACCCCAGCGCCATGCCACGTCCTTCTGCAGGAGGAGATGAAGTGGCGCCAGCTTCTGACTGCGGTCTGGAATATATCTGGAATAATACGTCAGAATTCCCAGGAACGACTTCAGCTGCTTAACGTTCTTCGGTTCTGGCGCTGACTGTATGGCTCGCACCTTGGCTGGTGTCGGCCTGATGCCGTCCTTGTCAACGATGTGACCCAAGTACTCGACACTGTGCACCAAGAATCTACACTTGGCTGGTCTCACCTTCAACCCGGCTCTCTTCAGTCTTCCGAGGACGTCGTCCAGCGTCTTCAGATGCTCCTCCGTCGTTCTGCTGGAGATCAGGATGTCGTCCAGGTAAGCCACCACACCAGGTAAGTCACGAAGCACCCGCTCAATCTCCCTCTGAAACAGACTGACCGCCGAATTGAGCCCAAAAGGCAGACGAGAGTAACGCATCAACCCCTTCGGCGTGTTCACCGTCAGTACATCGCGCGAGTCTTCATGCACAATGACCTGGTTATACGCCTGTGCTAGATCCAGCGTAGTGAAGACTCGTCCCCCAGCAAGCTGCGCGAAAATATCCTGCGCGCGCGGAAGCGGATATGTGTCACACTTCACAGCCTTATTTGCAGTCAGCTTTAAGTTAGCACATACTCTGACAGTGCCATCCTTTTTCAAGACAGGAACTAGCGGAGCGGCCCACCTGCTGTGCGTTACCTGTTCAAGTACACCAGACTCTACGTCCTTTTGCAGCTGCTTCTCCACCTTTTCCTTATAGGCGTATGGCATGGAACGAGCTCTGAAAAACTTGGGCTGCACACTTCGGTCAATGTTCAGGCGGAGCTTCACATCCTTCAACTCCCCCAGACCTGGTTCAAACACTTCCGCATACTTCCTTCTCAACGCCGCTACTGACACATTCTCAACAGCACACACTTCCTTCCAGTCTAACTTGACAGCTTTCAACCAGTCCCGTCCCAATAGGCTGGTCCTATTTCCTTGTACCACAACAACCTTGAGGTTAGCATGCTTCTGGCCCTTGTAAGTTACTGCAGTTCTGAATTCCCCCAGGACTGAAATCACATCTCCTGTGTACGTTCTCAACCTGAGAGCGCTGGGTTTCAACCTGGGACGTATCCGTAGAGATTTGTATGTGTCCTCTCCTATCAGAGTGTTACCCGAGCCGGTGTCTATCTCCATGTCTACTTGCGTTCGCTGAAAGTAAACAGAACAGCGAAGTGGCAGAGAACTCACCTGGAGGACGCTTGCAGATTGTGGGCTGTCGCTGCTGGTAGCCGCCACCTGCTGGACGTTCCCGGCGTCTTCATCGGGCCAGTTGTCCCAGTCCTCGGTGTCTGAAGCGCTGACGGCGTTCGTCACCTGCCGACGACCCCTGCCGCGGCCGGCTGGGGGCCTGCCTCGACCTGCTCCTGTGCGGCGGGGCTTTGGACAGGCCTTGGACACGTGTCCAAGTCCGTGGCAGTTGTAGCATTTGGAGTTACGGAAGCGACAAACATCAGCGCTGTGATTGTCTCCAGTACACCGCCAACACTGCGGATGGGCCTGCTGCTCCCTACGAGAACCTGCACTCACTGCCTGTAAAGGCTCGGCCCTCTCACCGTTATGAGACATGAGGTGGGCGTCCTTGGTCGACGTCTCCAGAGCCAGGCAGATTCTCACGGCGTTGCTGAAGTCCAGGCTCTTCTCCGAGAGAAGACGCCGCTGCATCCTCTCGTCTCCGACTCCAATCACCAGCTGCTCCAACAACCTGTCCTCCACAGTGTCCTCAAAGCAGCAATGTTCAGACGCTTTCCTGGGAGCAGCAACATAGTCAGCTACAGCCTGACCCGGACGGCGATTACATGTTCCGAACTTGAAACGACTGACCAGTACGGACGGTTTGGGATCCTGATGCTCCTTAATCTTTTCAAGCAAATCCTTGAAACTGACTTCACCGGGCTTGCTAGGCGACACAAGACTGCGTACAAGTGAGTAGGTCTGTTTGCCACATACCGTGAGAAATGTCGCTCTTTTTCTGCTGTCCGATGTGATGCCGTTACTCTCCAAGAAGAATTGCAGACGCTCCTCCCACTCCGTCCACGAACCTGAAGCTGGCTCAAACGGCTCCAGTTGCAGGTGCCCCGCTGCTGCAGTGCCGTCTTCGTTCGACATCTTCAGCTCTTCACTCCACCATCAGCCGGGCCTGAAGTTCACCTCGTCGCCAGTGTAAAGTCCGTGCCGAGCTCCTTGCTGTATTGGGTCCAGCTGCAGACTGCCGCGCGGCCGGCCGACCGGCCGCCGCGCCAGGCCACACAAAACCGCCCGAGGCACATGCGCCGCGACACGCAGGGACGGACACCGCGCAGGGACGGACACAGGGACGGCCGATAAGGGAGGAGCAGCGGCGCACTCAGGCCACAGGTGGGGGAGGCGTGAACCATAGTTCACTACAATTACCATTGGACAGATGGTATCAGATGGCATCGGCCTGAAAAAGTACGGTAACAATACCTACAGTTTTTAGTCGGCTGATCCGTCCCCCTGTCGAAAACTCGTGGCGATGCCCCTGAATTAAAGGAAATAGTTCACTTTTTAACATGGGTTTTGAACTGGAATAGCAGTTCCGTAGCTTGGGCTGAGACGAGCATAAATCAGGAGCTTTTACAGCCCAACTATCACCCTAGGCAAAGATATTCTATTTCTCGTCCCGAAAAATGTGTCTTGCGTTGAGGATGTGTGCCTTGCATATATTCGCATCCAGTATGAAACGAGCATAGGTCCCGAAAATTCTTCAGAAACTAGAGAAATTATCTACGAGAACTCTAGAGAAATTCGCTCCAGTGAGGCGCTCCAGTAACAAAAGCACGAGCAAATCGCCCAAATGCCGGTGGCCGCGATAATTTCTAGTTTCTGAAGAATTTTCGGGACCCATGCTCTTTTCATACTGGATCGCGTGTGCCTTACAGAAACTGAAAAGTTCTTCCTATATCAAAAAGATAGAAAATAATCTTTTGTTGTAAAAAGGTTTTATTTTCTTTGCTGATCATTTTGAACATAAAAAATCACAAACCCATTGCAAAAAAAATAATTTCGTGAAAGTGAACTATTTCCTTTAATAGGTGCAGACATCCCAAAAGTATGGGAAGTTTTACTGCTGACTGCTGAGCCCCCCCTGACAATATCATAAAGTTACACCCCTGCACACTACCCGACCAGGTTTTTGCTGCTGAGGTCATTTCAGGTCAAGTTAGGTCAAGGTCAATTATATGTGTTTGTATGTCTGTGTGTGTCTGTGTGTATACTGATGTGTGCACCGATTGTTTATGTGTCCATATTACATGAAATCATGAAGCTTTTACCAAAAATGCAGTCAAAAAAATTCACAAAAAGTAAGTTCCGCTTGCCTAAAACGCAATTATCTTAGATGACCTAGGTTGACCTTGACCCTGACCTTGACATCTGTACATCGTCGAACGACATGTTCCATGATAGGTGGGAGGTAAGACTGGCAAAAAAGGCCGAAATCAAGGTGTCAAAAGCTCACAAGGCCCATAGCCAGCGCAAGATGTTGAGAATTGGCCATTTGGGTCATGACATGACCTGAAAAACAAGGTCATATCTCCGAAACCGAAAACCACAGAAACTTGAAATTTTCAGTGGACATCGAGAAAGGATAGAGGAGCAGCTATACGAAAAATCAGCCCTCTAGCTCTAAAAATGTTGAGTGCAGAGCAGAAAAACTACCTGGGGGATGGCAACCACCCCCCCCCCCATGTGCGGGCGAGGGTTAAAGGAAGGGGCGCGTCAAAAGTGCCTCAAGGGTTCGTCTGATCGCCAAAGTTAAGGGTCGCAATCGATTCATCGGGTCAATATCTAGCCGCAGCCTCGGGTTCCAGATGTGTGAATCTTACCCCTTACCCATTAATCGTCCCGAGGCGCCTCAATATCTAGCCGAACCTGAGGCTTCGGCTAGATATTGACCCGAGGAATCGATTGTGACCCTTACTTAGCGATCAGACGAACCGTTGGGGCATTTTTGACGCGCCCCTTCCTTTAACCCGGCAGTTGCTGGGGTATTTCGCCACCCACCGTTTGCTGGGGGGGGGGGGGGGGGCGTTAAACGCCCCCAGCCGATAACTCGAGAACCAATAGGCGCAGCGAAACGCACGAGACGGCAAACGAAAGAGCGCGACGAGACGCTTCAGATGAGTACTTTAAAGTTGAATTTTTAGGTCACAGGTCGGGTCAAGGTCATGTCAAACACCTGAAATCGGGCTTTCAGTAGCATGGACTTCAGGACTTCGCAATGGGCGCCTCTCGTCATAAACTCTGTCAAAACGGCAGTGGCGGCGGAATAGGGGGTGCAGGGGGTGCAGCTGCACCCCATCGAAAAACATGGGGATGCAAACATATCTTTTTGCACCCCCAAAATTCGTACAAGGGGCCCGTCGCACCATCCAATACATTTTCTCCTGAAAACCAGTGATCGGGAAACGAACACTGATGTGGAATCATCCGGGATGTCCAATTATGGTCAGGAGCACCCCGTGCTAGTCTTTGGGGCCCCCACACCGGCTAGAAGTGTCCCGAGCCGCGTTTGGTGCTCCATGCGGCATCTGAGGGCCCCCACGACGGCCTCAGAGGGCCCTTTTATGACGATCTCTGAGGGCTCCCACGACGACCTCTGTCCCCTGGGGCCCTACAACGGCCACTAAGGGCCCTCATGACGACCGCTGAAGGTCCCACAGAGACTCCAGGGCCCCAAGGAGACTCCAGGGGCCAGGTTGGCCTCTAAGGGCCCTATGACGGCCTCTGAGGGCCCCTACGATGATCTCTGAGGGCTCTCACGACGACCTCTGTCCCCTGGAGCCCTATAACGACCACTAAGGGCCCTCATGACGACCGCCGAGGGTCTCACAGGACTCCAGGGCCCCGCTGGTCTCTGAGGGCCCTCGTGACGGCCAAAGACCCAACTCAAGTCTGAGGGCCCATTTGGCTTCAGACGGCCCAGCGACGGCCTCTGAGGGCCCAACACAACCAGGATTCAGGGGCTATGCTGGCATCTGAGGGCCCTGCAACGGTCTATTGAGGGCCCTAACGATGGCTTCTAGCGGTCTTACCAAGGCCTCTGAGAGCCCTGCAAAGGTATCTGAGGGCCCATGAAGACCCTCACTAATCCATGGACCCTCATGACGACCTCTGATGATCCTCTCGAAGGCTTCTAAGGACCCTCACACCAACTTCTGAGGACCCCAGAACGGTCCCTGAGGGGCTGAGGGCCCTGACGACGACCTCTCTGGGCCCTCACGATGGTCTCTAAGACCCAACGCAAGCTCCAAAGGCCCACGCTGGCGTCTGAGGGCCCCACGACGGCCTCTGAGGGCCTCAACGCGTGCAGGCTCCAGGGGCCATGCTGACCTCTGAGGGCCCTCTTGATGGCTTCTAAGGCCTAACGAAGGATTCAAATTTCAAGGGCCAACGCCATGGCCTCTGAAGAACCCTACGACGGCCTCGGGGGTCTCAACTCAACGCAGGCAGGTGCCAGGAGACATATGCTGGCCTCTGAGGGCCCCGCAGAGTTCAGATTCAGAGGACCCAACGACCTTTGTGGACCTTACGAAATACGAAGGTCTCCGAGAGCTCACACAGGCTCCTGGAATTCCACAATGATTCTCAGGCCCCATGTCGGCTTGTCGAGGCACTTAATCTGCTCTTGATGCCCCGTCGCCGGCCTCTGAGACTCTCAATGTGGGAACTTATGGGGCCATGGGCCCTATACCGGCTTTTATGGCCACTACATCGACTCTTGGAACTCATGACCCATGAAATTTGGGTCTAAGCAGCTTCTAAGAATCCCCATGCTGGTTCTAGTAGCCGCCAGCCGAATATTTGGGCTCACACGCGAGCTCCTGGGACCCCGTGCATACCCCAGGGGTCTACCTGCCTCTAAGACCCCACACATACTTTTGGGGCTCAAACGCTTGCCCCACTGAGACCCCTTTCCTCTATTCAGTCCTCCATACCGGCTCTTTAGGCTAAACATCGGCTCCTGTGGCCTTTATCCCGGCTTTGGAGGGCCTCCATACAGGCTTTTTTGGGGTCCGATGCCGGTTTCTGAGAGCCCTCAAAAGACTTTCGAGCCTATACTGCCTTCTGAAACGTTCAGCAACTTTCAAGGGACCGACCCTGATCGGAGGGCATTCAGTCTGGTTCATGTAGGTCTCTGGAGGAGTCTCT